TAGGCACGGCTAGCACGCCAAATGAAGCCTCGATTGAATCACTTAGCTTATTCATTTCGTGAATATTCTTCCTATTCCAACGCAATCTCTTTTTGTTAGATCGTTCGCGCTAAAATGGTCGGCGTAAGAATAAAATGTGAAATAAAACAAGCGTGATACGTAATTTTGTGTTTTCAATCGGTTATATAACTCTTGAAAAATTAAGATTGCTATCTCACAAATTTGTGTGATTTCCCTAAATAAATGTCCGCCAGTAAATGTATTAAGAATTATGTTCCTCATTATTTCGTTAAGTGACTTTCCCTACCCATTAGCTAAGAGGCTAGTCAAGCTTCTCGCGGACGGGTAGGTGAGCTCACGGGCTCAACCTGTGAGAATTTGCTAACACTAGCTCTAGCAAGAGCAGTGTTTCGCAGAATCTACCACCTGATCGGAATAGCGACCCACTGAGAAGATCCAGCGAGGAACTTAGTGGGCTGTGTTAAGGGGATTAAGCGACGAAATTTGTTTATTCGTTGTACACCTAAATGAACTAAATAATCTGTATAAGTATAAATAAATAGTTACAGCCTGCTTATTTCGTTAAAACGTCTCTCTTAACGGCAGCTCATTTAATTGTGTTCTTGACGAGGCTGAAAAAGTCAGGTGTGCATGTGCGGAATGCGCTTTTACTTTCAGCGCAGCACTTGGCGGCATCTGACGCTCAACGCACGTGTAGACACATGCCGCTGATTCTAAATGCAATAGTTGCGCACAATAATTACGTATCATTACATTAAGTCACCATATCGTTACGAAGTAAATAAATAAATTTATACGTATTTAGGACAGAAAATAGTTTTAGTCGTGCTGTTGATTTTGGCTATGCTAACAGAATAAATTATTAACCTTACTTGTATTTTTTTTTATTGCTTAGATGGGTGGACGAGCTCACAGCCCACCTGGTGTTAAGTGGTTACTGGAGCCCATAGACATCTACAATGTAAATGCGCCACCCACCTTGAGATATAAGTTCTAAGGTCTCAGTATAGTTACAACGGCTACCCCACCCTTCAAACCGAAACGCATTACTGCTTCACGGCAGAAATAGGCGGGTTGGTGGTACCAACCCGTGCGGACTCACAAGAGGTCCTACCACCAGTGATTACGCAAATTATAATTTTGCGGATTTTGAGTTTTATTACACGATGTTATTCCTTCACCGTGGAAGTCAATCATGAACATTTGTTAAGTACGTATTTCATTAGAAAAATTGGTACCCGCCTGCGGGATTCGAACACCGGTACATCGCTTCATACGAATGCCCGGACGTCTTATCTTTTAGGCCACGACGACTTCAATACTGTATAGTACTTGTATAGTAATAATAATTGTTTTCTTTCAAAACTATCTTAAAAACATAGTCCCTGTGATGTCTTTCCTGTTCCTCGTGCAGATTGTCCATCGCCTTGTGTAGTTTTTTAATTAGTTAAAAGTAAAATAATGTGTTTATTGTATTGTTTTTGAAAATATTCTGTAACTGTTTTACTACTTATAGAGAAAATATGGCTTAGATTCCTCCCCAAATATATTTAATCATTACTGAATCTAACGTAGTCAATCAAAATCGAACGCAGTCAAATTTTATGAATTAAATATCCTCTAACTTAATGTAATTTATTTTTTTATTTTATTTATTGGGTACCAACATGTTATACATCAGCACAGAACATTACAGGAATCATATACATTGATTTCACACTAAATGCTAACACAATTACAGGTACCGACTGCATGCATAAAAAAAAAGCGGTTCATTATATAAAAAAAAAGACAAAAAAAAAACTATATATAACATTACATGAAGACCTTACATTATTACACATTTACTACCAAATACGCTATTCTTCTTCTTCTCCATCGCTCCCTCATTGCTGAGGATCGTGACTCCGTTTTAGCTTGTCGACTGTCAGCCTCCATCGGTTCCAGTCAGTTGCCTGGTGTAGTGCAGCGCTAAGTGGTCCGCTGGTTTGCTCGGAGATCTGGTCGGACCAACGTTTGGTGCTCCGGCCTCTAGGACGTTTTCTTTCTACTTTCCCATACTTAAATACGCTATTACATAATTGAAAAAACTCATTGAGCAAGGTTGTAGACTTCTCGTCTAAAACTGTCAACAGTACCAGCAAAAACGTCCAGAGAAATTTTTGAGAACTTTGTTGTTAATGCATCTAGTACCTTCTTGTCGATACACCGACTTTAGTGACGTCTGTATTAGTAATCGCTTTAGTTTAACTAAATTAATAAACTGTTTACTGGCATCTTCATTAAAACTACAATCGGAATTTTCTCAATCTTATTTTGTGTCGAACAAGGCCGGCTAGTGCTAACTTTAGCTAACGGTAAATACAAATTATACATACCGGTTCAATATATAATGATGATTGCTATAGCTCTCAACGTGTTTAACTTACGAAGGGTTACCTACTGCTTTTCATTCATTTGGTCACGTGGAGACTATTAAATGTAATTTCACATTAGAACGGTGTCTATGTACATAGCTACAAGTTAAAATTGACTTCTTTTTTTTTTGGAATTTTTAGTTTATTTATTTATTTATTTTCTTATTGCTTGGACGAGCTCACAGCCAACTTGGTGTTAAGTGGTTACTGGAGCCCATAGACATCTACAACGTAAATGCGCCACCCACCTTGAGATATAAGTATAGTTATAATATTATTTATTATTAGTCTCGGTCTCTTAATATTTATGATATATAGTCTCTATTTATCTTGTAGATCCATACCTTCACAAGCGTATGTTTTTCTAATATACATTACATTTTGTTTTTATTAAATGATCTAATTGTATAAAAGAATAAGGCTTCAAACTAATTAATGTCTTATGTTTAATTTTTTTTTTATTGCTTAGGTTGGTGAACGAGCTCATAGCCCACTTAGTTTTAAATAGTTACTGGACGTATCATCTAAGTTTTTATAGTACAACGGCTGCTCCAGCCTTCAAACCGAAACGCATTACTCCTTTACAGCAGAAATAAGGCAAGGTGGTGGTACCTACTCATGCTAGCTTACAAGACGTCCTACCATCACTAATTACTCAACTTATAATGTTTATTAATTACAAGCTGTATTAAAAATACGATAAAAATACAGAATCCTGTTTGAATTGAACCGCCTTCAGAGCAACAGGCTAAACGCTACAACTAAATTGCTTTATACGTATCGTTTATCACCTATGCATAATCCATATCACCTATGCATAATCACCTATGCATAATACGATTCTGTATTTCTTCGAAGCCAATATCTTTATTCTTTTGTACAATTAGATCATGTACTAAAAAAAATTAATTAAAAAACATATGCTTATACTAAGTGTTTGAAATGGAAGGATAGCTATTGGTTCGATGGTATTTCCACCTTCTGGTGAGCTAGCATGGGCTCAACCAGGAGGGGCGGGGTCTGCGATCAGCTGACCGAGTCCTCCAAAGATGACCTAACAGGTTGAAAGCGGCTTCGCAAATGCATCTACTTTCAGATCGGAATTGGCGACCCGCTGAGAGGATTTGGCAGAAACTCAACGGGTAGATGTTATTATACATGACCTATATCTAACTACATGTATCTATCCGTGCAAGAGAATGTTTCAAAATATTTTGTAGTAACTTTAAAACGTCCGGATGAATTTTCAAAATGTTCAATACAATTATCATTTTTATTAATTTATCCAAATAATCAAGATAATCAAGATTAAAAAAAATTTGAAATTTTTACTACAGTTTCTTATTTAAGGTTGTTTTTTTTAAACTACAATACAATATTACTCCGACTATAATCACTTTTTTCGATATAATGCCTACGTTTCCCGGACACGAATTTCATTTCAGAATGTCCAGTGCTTAGAATATTTTCCTTTTTACGTAAATTTAAGAATAAATCGTCTCGATTTTAATGATTAAACATAAAAACACACACATATACAGTTGAGCATTCTCGAAATATTATGAAACTTTTCTGTAGTGTTTGGACACAAACATGCCCGAACCGGTTTGAATCCCGGCAGCCCTGCGGAATCCGACCGTATGATACAGTCCTGTTTCTCTACGCGGGTTCAGGCCAAATATTATTACTTATTAAAATCAAATATTCGTTAGAGATATATAAACGCAAACTCTATAAATAAAAATACAAAATTTTAATAAGTACAGAAATACTATTTCGATAATAATAAAAAATTTGAACGTCATCAATGTAGTCTAAGTAAATGAAATATGTATTATTAAGAATAACTTAAAAATTAATAACATTAGAAGCACCAGGTTGAAAAGTAAAAAAAGAAAAATCGCTATAGTTCGCCTAGAAAAGTTTCAAAGGTACTTAACACATAAAAAAAATATAGTCAAGTTTAGAACTTCTTTCTTGTAGAGGGTTAAAAAAATGAAAACAAATTATTAACCCTTTTTAGGTTTCAACCAAATCGTTTTACCATTTTATTTAACAACCCTTATTGGAAGTAATTTGTTTTCGCATGATACAATTGATTTTTGTTTTCTGTATTTTGTATATTACACGGTGATTACTGTAAGGATTTATATAAAATCTGATACCCTTGATATATACTGATATCCTTGAAAGGCTATATCAGCGTCACCGAACGAGTAGGTGAGGTTACGGGGCTCAAACCTGACGAAGTTGCTAACACTAGCCATAGCAGCAGTGCTTCGCAGAATCTACTACCGGATCGGAAACGCGACCCACTGAGAAGATCCGGCGAGATCAGTGGTATGTGTTTGTGGGTTAGTTTATTCGCCGAGCTCTTCGCCGCAAGCGACGGGGGTTTAACCAGAATAGTGACCGGTGTTTGGGATAGCTAAAAACACCGTTAGTGGATGGTCCGAAATGACGTGTTTTTGGCGACGTCGACTGTTTACCATTCGGTTTGTAGGATCGCGAATGAACAGATCTAATTTCTGTTAAATAACCAAATGACTATGTTTGTTGTAGACGCGTCGTCATCGAACGAGGCGGTGCACCTGCAGCGACGGCTGCTGAGTCTGAGCTCGGAGCTGGTGACGCTCCGCAACCACTTGCACGTGGGAGCGGCGGGGGGCGCGGCTGCCGGGGCGGCCCCCACTGCCGGCACTAGCACCGGACAACCCGCCGTCCCGCCGAGAGCACCGCACTTGTTACCACCACCGCCGCACGCCGCACAACCGCCCGCTCCACCGCTTCACCCCCTACCGCCTCCTCCTGGTAATATTGCTGTAGATGAGATGATGAACCACCAACTTTCAGGTCACACACAGCACGGCGTGAACACCGCCGCCCATATTGAAACATTAGGTCGAAGTCTCTATTATATTTTTTATTTATTTATTGCATTAATGGGCGGACAAGCTTACGGCCCACCTGATGTTAAGTGATTACCGGGGTCCATAGACATCTACAATATAAATGCTGCCGTCCATCTTGAGATATAAGTTAAGATAATTTAATAAGTACAATTTTTTTAATGTAGAAACGCGATGGCGGAACGTTCCGGCCGCCCCACCACAAGCGAGCGCGGGCCCCACTCCCACGAGTGGGACGAGCGGCCCGAGCGGAGTGAGCGGTCTAAGCGCAAGCGATGTGGAGGACCTCATACATCTAAGAGGACCGCTCACAGAAGACGCGGTCGTTAGAGCGTTGCAGGCGAGATTCTATCACAATAAGTTTTATGTAAGTTTTCTACATACATCATTTAAACCGTCAACCTATTTCCGCCGTGAAGCAATAATGCGTTTCGGTTTGAAGGGTGGGGCAGCCGTTGTGACTATACTTGAGACTTTAGCACTTATATCTCAAGGTGGGTGGCGTATTTACGTTGTAGATGTCTATAGGCTCCAGTAACCACTTAACATCAGGTGGGCTGTGAGCTCGTCCATCCATCTAAGCAATAAAAAATAATAATCATAGACTGTAAATAATTAAAACGGCGACTTATAAAAATCTTATTACTTGACACTGGCTAATGCACAAACCGTGCCGGAAGAAATAGAAAAGAAGAAGAAAAACCAAAGAGTTTTACATAATAAAGGTTTTTCTTTAAATAAATATGAATTAGTAGTAGATTTTAAAACGGTGGGTTAAATCGAGTAACGGAGATACTACACGCGTATGTTGAATGTGCTGAGCGGCAGCGCAGGTGTGCTTGTCCGGTCCGGTTGTCGGAGATCGTGCAGGTAAATTGTGCCCGGTCGAGTCTCGAAACAGCTATTACGAACGTCGACCCATTTAATGCGAAGCCGGGCTTCGTTGTGTAGTTCTATTCAAAATACGCTTGTTAGTTTTCGATGAATTTGTCAACGTAATCTATACTAATTTAAAAATCTACAGTGGTTTTTACGGATGTTCCGTTATAACTACTGAACCGTGCATCCGATTGACTTGAAACTTGGTATCCATGTAGAAAATACATGTACTTAATGGATAGGCTAATATTTATATGAGTGTTAGACTCCCTATACCAGTTGCGTTGCCGTTCATGATGAGAAACTTTGTGGGGGTGAAAAATAATAATGTTAATTTTAAATGCCCCGCGAAGCGGACGGGTATAGCTAGTATATTATAAAACTATAAAATGAAACTTTCCCATATCGTAAAACATAACAAAAAAGTTATAGTTAAGTTATATAAAATAATTATAACGCACTTCACATAGTTTCTTAATTCGGGACGTATATTTTAATTTTAATATATAATCCTTAAATAATTACTATTTACCGTTCCACGTATGAACACAAATATAGATATTAATATAAATAAAAGGATACATTAAAATAAAAGTTTTATTTTTATAATTTACACGACTTTTAAGTGACTCGTTGGTGTAGTAGTTAGCGGCCCTGACAGTTGCGCAGAGGGTCGTGGGTTCGATTCCCACATAGGTCAAACATTCGTGTGATGAACAGGTTTGTTTGCTCTTGTTCTGGGTGTTTATTATCTATATATTTAAAGTTATATAAGTATTCCCGAGCGCTATGACAATCCTTCTTGAAACGAGACTTCCGGAAAATCCTTAATGGTAGGCAGCGGCGTGGCTCTGCTCCTGGCATTGCTGATGTATATCAGAGACGGTAACCCCTCACCATCACGTGGGCCGTATGCTCGTCTGCATACAAAGGCACACAGGGAACCCTAATCGAAGGCGGGATGACCGTGCGTTTTCAGTTATTAATTATTATTAGAATAGCACAATATTAAATATGTCAGTTAAAACAATATCATTTTTTTACGAGCAAAACACTTAGTCGTTTAGGACCGCGAAAACTGTGGTGTATTCGAAACATCGGAAGTAACTACTTTACTTAAGAAATTACTAAGTTACATTTAGCTTTACCTAACTATTTGACTATGTTTCGAACTGTGCCAAACATCCAATTGCGTTCCATGTGAAACGTTTTACATGTGTAAATGAATCGATGTACTTCATTTAACTCGTAATTCTCAATCTATTACAGACGATGATCGGACCAATCCTCATCGCGGTAAATCCATACACGGACACCTGTAACGCATTAACGTTGACTGCGGCCCGCGCCCACCGGCCCGAGCTAGCCCGACTGGTTCACGACGCCGTGAGACACCAGGCGGACTCAGGGTACCCTCAGGCGATCATTCTCTCAGGGGTATCTGGCTCAGGGAAGACGTACGCGTCAATGGTGTTGTTGAGGAGGCTCTTCGACGTGGCCGGTGGAGGCCCCGAAACGGATGCGTTCAAGCATCTCGCGGCGGCTTTTACTGTGCTGAGGGCTTTGGGCACGGCCGCCACACCGGCTAATGCGCATTCGTCCCGTATAGTAAGTATTACCAAAATGGTAGGCAGCCGCTTGGCTCTCCCCCTAGCATTGCTGAAGTCCATGGGCGACGATAACCACTCACCATCAGTTGGGTCGTACGCTCGTCTGCCTATTACAGGAACAAAAAAATAAAATCATACATCATTTTATGTATAGTATAGATTGAAAACGGTACAGAAAGTTCTTAATTGCTTTATTATATAAAATTTAAAGTTCGCAGGAGTCACGTAGTAATAGAAACTGGAATTTGTTTCCAGGGACATTTCATCGAGGTCCAAGTAACCGACGGAGCCTTGTATCGTACAAAGATCCACTGTTACTTCCTCGACCAGACCAGAGTGGTCCGCCCTCCAGCTGGCGAACGAAACTATCACATCTTCTACCAGATGCTGGCCGGACTCACACCCGACGAGCGATCGCAACTTCATCTTGAAGGTTATTCCGCTCAAGACTTAAGGCAAGTTTACTCTCCTTTTTTTTCTTAATTTGTTTTTAAGTATCCATTATTAAGATTTTAATTTTACAGGTATCTAGCATCCCCCCATCACCGTAGAGCAGAGCCAGAAGATGCTGCAAGATTCCATGCGTGGAAAACCTGTCTTGTTATTCTCGGTATACCGTTCCTTGACGTAGTACGAGTTTTAGCGGCTGTCCTATTACTTGGCAACGTTCAGTTCGCCGAGAGCGCTGAGGGTGGGGCCGAGCCAGCCGGAGAAGCAGAGCTAGCAGCAGCCGCGGCTCTGCTAGGAGTTGCAGCGCCGGCATTGTTACGAGGCTTGGCAATGCGGGCTCCCCCTCGGACTTCATCTGCNGTTATTCTCGGTATACCGTTCCTTGACGTAGTACGAGTTTTAGCGGCTGTCCTATTACTTGGCAACGTTCAGTTCGCCGAGAGCGCTGAGGGTGGGGCCGAGCCAGCCGGAGAAGCAGAGCTAGCAGCAGCCGCGGCTCTGCTAGGAGTTGCAGCGCCGGCATTGTTACGAGGCTTGGCAATGCGGGCTCCCCCTCGGACTTCATCTGCGCGATCGGTGCGCGTACCAGCCACCCCAGCGGCGGCTTCATCAGCGCGTGATGCACTGGCCAAAGCATTGTATTGCCGAACAGTGGCGACTATAGTGCGTAGAGCCAATTCGTTGAAACGCTTAGGATCTACTTTAGGCACGCTTTCGTCGGATTCAACTGAATCGGTACACGCGCAAGAAGCACGTCGAGCGTCATCAGCAGGCGGGTCTCGAGCGGGCGCTCGTTCAATGGCTGCACTTAACGACGCCGTACGACACGCCACTGATGGGTTCGTGGGGATATTGGACATGTTCGGTTTCGAGGACGCAGCCCCGAGTCGACTGGAGCACCTGTGCGTTAATCTGTGCGCAGAAACAATGCAACACTTTTATAATACTCACGTGTTCAAATCCGCCGCTGAATCTTGTCGGGAGGAAGGTGTGGCGTGTCCGCTCGAAGTGGAATACGTCGACAATGTGCCGTGTATTGATTTGGTGTCATCCTTGCGAGGCGGACTGCTTGCTGCACTGGACGCAGAATGTGCAGCCCGTGGTACTCCAGAACAATACGTAGTGCGCATTAAAACAGCACACAGGTAAATTCATTACTAATCTGTTTTCATATTTAGGGTCATAATTCCACAACCCTACGTAGTATCCTTTGATCACAGAGGTCATCCGCGACTGGCGGAGGCTCGTCCACCGCACCCTCGAAGGTTTGCAGTGCGGCATTATGCTGGTGAAGTGGCATACGACACGGTGGACTTCTTGGAAGCTAATCGCGACGCCGTCCCTGACGACCTCCTTGCCGCCTTCGAAACTGGAACCTGTGAATTTGGTTTTGCTACACATCTTTTCGGGGCTGAGCTTAAAGTAAGCACTTAATTAAATATAACCATAATCATAAAATCGCCTTTACTTTGTATTACTTTTCTGGGACAAACTATGTAATGCCTAATAGTTTGTCCCAGAACATATCACAGTTTGTCGCGTGCCTACTAGCAATACGGAAGAGGCAATCAATGACAGAATTCTCTGGGGCGAGTTACCAAGTGGGGTGAACTGAATTTTGGTCAGTTATGCATGCAGTATTGCACATTCACGTGAAGAAAATACTTTTATCATAGTGCTGCAAGTTAAAGGATTATTCCGGCAGCCTTCCGCGAGTGTAGGGGTTCTTGGGGTCGATGTTTTGAGCGCTATTCAGTACCGGAGTTATTTGAAAGCCAAAGTCAAATCGACCTCTAAAATGTTAAGAGTCAACAAAGCGAAGTGGTATTTCACGCCTGGACAAAGATCGATGCTTTACAAATCACAAGCCCTGGCACTACGTGGAATATTGCCCTCCTCTGGGTCGGGGTTCCCTAGTACCCACTACTTCCATTTGATTCCACAAGAATTCGAACGGCCCTCGTTCGGATTATCGATATTCCTTGCCTCAAGGATCGCTTGGTGCCTCTGGGACGGTCTCTGGAATAAACTCTATGGTGTTTCCTGAGCACTATGACATATCCTTGTTCACACTGGGTTTCCAAAAAGTAAAATAAAAAGATTAAATTCATTTAAACCAAAATCATTGATTTCAAGTCGGATATTATTTAAAATAGTGTTTGAATGTCAAAATATGAATATCAGGTTTGGGAATCATTGCCGAATGTTAGAAGCATGGCGTTTTAATTTTTTTTATATGTCTGTCGTAGGCCATGGCAGCACAAGGCGGGGCAGCGAATTCTGGGGGTGGATTCTTCCGTGCGTCCCCCACAGTTGCTGCGGAAGCGGGTTCGACACTCACACAAGACTTCCACACGCGTCTCGACAACTTGCTCCGTACACTCGTGCACGCTCGCCCGCATTTCGTGCGCTGTTTGCGGGCTAACTCTACGGAAACACCAATGCTCTTTGAAAGGACGACTGTAGCGCGACAGGTGAGAACTAGCGATAAAGGCGTCACCTGTTTGATACCGAGCTAAGCTTGATATTTTGGAACGACATAGATAGAACATCAATAAAGATTTTAATACTCGCTTTGACACCCACTTCTGTCATTTTTGTCTCGCATACAACACAAAACTTCAATTTACGACTTTGGTGGTTTCAAGTCGTAATAGTATTTTCATTATTTGATAGACTCCAAATAGCCTCAGTTATTAAATTAATATTGACAGGTCCGTGCACTACAAATATTAGAAACGACACAGCTAATGGCCAGTGGGTACCCGCACCGGATGCGTTTCCGTGCGTTCAGCGGACGGTACCGGGCACTGTGCCGCGGCGCGGGGGGCGGGGCGAGCGCGGGGGCCGCGGGGAGCGTGGCGGGCGCGGAGGGGGAGGCGTGCGGGCGGGTACTGAGGGCAGTGCAGGCTGCGGCCGCTCCACCAGCCCCCGCCTCCCCTGCCGCAGTACGGTGGGCGCTTGGAAAGAGACACGTCTTCCTCAGTGAGGGGATGCGGCAGGTTTGTTATATTTTTTATGTAAGCTTGTAAGTGCCCACAGTAGAACCACGTCAGAAGAAGTGTTTGGTAATAGTTTGTCTGGCTGTAATACCCAGAAAATAAAAATATACGACACCGATGTCCTTGAGCTTCTAGCACGATTCTACCATTTTTTTACTTATTGAATAGACAGCTGAACGATCTCACGGCTCACAATGGGTATCACAGCAATCCATAGACATCACAAAGAAAATGCTGTTACCAATGTTGAGATATGTGACTTAAGTTTGAATTGTATAGTACAGCGGTTGTCCCACCCTTCAAGCCGGAGCACATGACTGCTTCCCGGCAGAAATAGGCAGAGCGACGCTACAGTCCACGAATAAACCATTTGTAGTAATAGCACTGCTTTATGGTCTATTCGTACTAGTAATAGTCTCATATATCTATTTCTTTCTTATCAGCTCTATTAATTTCAATCTTAGTAGCTGTCAATCTTAACGATAATCCTGTCCACCTAGTGTTAACCTCACAGACTGTTCGCCAGTACTATCATCCACCATGATGCCTTTATTTAATTTTGAACTGCCATTTTATTAGCTACACAAGGCATCATAGGCAACGTACGTAGGCGTCATATTTGAGGTCTGTCCTGGATGGTGGTATTAACCTATTAGATAACCCAGGTGTTAGAGCGGATGCGACGTGGTCGTCGTGAAGCGGCCGCTGCGAGTATACAGCGTGCGTGGCGGCGGCACCGCGCCCGCCCTCGCCCCGCGCCGCGCCCCCGCCCCGCGCCCATCGCGCGCACCCCGCCTCCCGACCCCGCGGACAAGTGCGACCCCGCGCTCGTTAAGCGAACGTGCTCGCTCTTTGGACTCGACCTCGTACGTATATAATATCTATATATTAATCCGGGAAGCAAAAACTATGTACCTCTTTTTACGAAAATTGCGGGAACGGAGTTGTATGAAATTTCCCACACTTATAGAGAATATAGAGAAGGAGTGGAGAATGTAAATATTTTTTTAAATTATGTATGATAAATCAATAAAAAAAACATGACACACATTACCATTTATTTGACATACACATGCATTTATACTTTTTGTTTATTGTCAAACTTTTCTTATTGCTTATAGTCTGTGGTCATATTGAGAATAGATTAAATATTGTTTGTCTTTATTAATATTTGTCTAAAGTGTAGTCTTGGCGAAATCTGTGATTATAGAAGTATAACAAATCTTTGGACAATAGAATCATAATAGTGTACTATAATTTCAATTGATTATAGTCGAATTTCGAATACCGGGAGGCCATTAGTAATGATAAAGGTTGTGTTCCAGGAGCGTCCCCCACCGCTGCCCCCGTCCCGCGCGTACACGGTGTCGGGGGGCGTGAAGCTGAGCTACCCGCAGCAGCGCGCCGTGAGCGCCGAGTGGAGCGACGAGGGCGGCGCGCGCCTGCGCCCCGGCGACACTGTGCTCGTGGTCGGCGCCGCCCGCCGGGGACACCTCGCTGTACAGGTCCGATACAACACCCTTTTTTTTTGTTGTGGTATTTTACTTGTGAGTCCGCACGGGTAGGTACCACCACCCTGCCTATTTCTGCCGTGAAGCAGTAATGCGTTTCGGTTTGAAGGGTGGGGCAGCCGTTGTCACTATACTTGAGACCTTAGAACTTTTATCTCAAGGTGGGTGGCGCATTTACATTGTAGATGTATATGGCCCCATTAACCACTTAACACCAGGTGGGCTGTGAGCTCGTCCACCCATCTAAGCAATAAAAAAAAGAAAAACCTTTGTTATGTAAAACTCGCTGCATTCATCGACAGTGCGTTTCCAGAGGTCTTTTTTGCCACGTACCATCCGGCTATGAAATGAGGTCCCCTCCACGGTGTTTCCCGAGCGCTATGACATGTCCTTCTTTAACAGAGGCTTGTGAAGAGTATTAAGCGGTAGGCAGCGGCTTGGCTCTGCCCCTAGCATTGCTGAAGTCCAGGGGCGACGGTAACCACTCACCGGTGGGCCGTATGCTCATTTGCCTACAAGGACAATAGAAAAATAACCCAAGTTAAGCGCTTAAAGCAAAAGATGGCGGTTCCTTCCAGATTTGAATTGTGCTTGGCATCCTTCATACCTTTAAAGTTTAAACGTACCGTAGATTGAGGGGAATCGGGACCCTTTCCAAATCCAACACAAATTTTCAATGGTTTTTCTTTCTTTTCTTCTTCTTCTTTATAATACCAATAAAATTGAGATTAAAACGGTTCCGGAACCTTAAATTTTTATATACGATGCGTTATTTTATACATAATCCATTATAAAATATACCCAAACACTGAAAAAACTACCTTGACCCGATTCACCTTAGCTTTGGGGTGAATCAGGTTACGTATGGGGACAATAGTTATTCGATAGGGCTGGCACTATTTAGTATTTGGTAGGTACCTAACTTTAGGTAATTAACTTTTAATATCTTTAATGAGTTACAAAACTTTGATGACTAAATTAGATTATTTAATATTCTTAAACACTAAATAAAAGTCATTTTCAGTTCAACAAAGTTAAATCTAACAACTCAACAAAAGTTTTGTGGCATCCCAGATTTGTCCCTATTGTGATTCTAGTCTCTATTCCCCCCAATCTACTGTACTACAAAAATATTATGTAAATGACATTCACGTGTTTTGAAGGTCTATGGATCTCTATTAAAAATATTATGTGACTGGGCAACTATTTACTGAAAGATTAAATGTAAAAGAAAAGAAAAAGAATAAATCTAAACTGTGAAAGCCATTGCCGGACCCTGCGTAGACAGACTGTAAGAACATCTAGAGTTGACGTTTCCAGATCGGCAGCCGTACCGTGCAGGTCCCACACGGCGTGCTGTCCCCCCCGCGCGCGCCCGCCCCCCGGCACCACCCGCCGCCGCCCCCCGCCCCCGCGCCACCCGCACTCGCCTGACATTCACTTGTATAAGTAAGGACGATATTCTGCGAGATGGTGTATTACTGTAACTAATAATAATAGGTAGTAAATACTTAACTATAAATCTGTTTACACGTTTTCAATGTTGCCACAAAAGTATTTTGTATATTGTATACGTGATTTTATATCTATTCAGCTAATCCGACAAAGTATCGTATTGCGGTGCTCTTTATAAAATAGCTGTTATTATACTGGTCTTCCATATTAAAGTGCCTGATTTTGAGAAACGTATATTTAATTAATCAATGTAAAGTAAAAGATAAGCCTATCGGATTTAGAGAGATATAGATTTTTGAAATAAAATTAGCTATAAATGTGTGCCTTATATTTTTATATTTTGTATGTAAATATTCGATTTAAGTATTTATGTTAGTTATTTTGAAGAAATTGAAAAGAATTAATTGTAGTTTCGTTAGCATAAGGTTTTATGTACGGTTGAACTCCTTGCTCTGATTGAATAAATTGGTAACTATAATATTATTATAAAGATGATGGTTTGCTAATGTTATCCTGCCAAAAGAGATTGTTGTAATATTATGCTGATCCACTTCGGGCCGCCCTGAAGCAATTAATATATTTTTTAAATATTCATTCAGTATTGATTACAGTTGTAAATACAGCATAATATAAATCAGTACACTACATTCCTCAATATATTGATACTATTAATTTTTCTGTACATATTTCCTTTGGTAGTATTATTGGTTTTAGATTACCTATTATATAGCAATAAGCACAAATTTAAACCTACTGTATAATAGGTTTATATTAAAGTACTAGGTTTTACTGGTGGCTTCACTCGCGCTGATATATATTTTTAAAGTATTTGTAGATTCTTTTTCCTGGGTTAAAGGTACTGTGTGTGTGTACCACAGACAACTACCGCGTATAAAAATATTGTATGTGTAGGAAAATAAAAAGGAATCTAGAAGATATAGTGAATAGAAAAATTAAAGATTGTTAAAAAATCATCATTAGCACCGTGCACACTAAATAAAATATGTATGTAGTACCTAACTTTTTGTAATTCATTAATTATCAATTAAAGTCAAATGGAGTTCATAACATTTAGGAACACAAAATAATAGAGTGATAACAATTTCAACAGAACTACATATTTGAACTAAACTGTTGTTGTAAAACTAAACTAAACTAACTGTTTTTTTACTACAGTCTATAACCTCGAGAATAGGGATGTGGAATACATATTATGTTTTTTTTTAATAAAACAATTTGACACATCGATATAACACTCGTCCAAGTTATTAATAGTTTTATTTTCGTTTCCAAACTCGGTCTATGATAGGACTAAAACAGTTCTACTGTTTTAACCAAGAAATCGTGATAAGTAATAGACCAATAATAATTATGTAAAATTACAGTATTCTAAATGTTAAGCAGGTTTCGTATTTCTTCTGCCATGAAAATATGTTTTCCTGGAACTGTTTTTGAAGCCGTTCTCATTGATTATAACATTTTGACACTTATTAGCTTCGTCACAAATTAAACATTTTGACATAGGTTAAAGGTGCCGTTATCAAGCGATATTCAAAGCCTATGAAAATACTACCATTAATCATTATATTTGAGACTTTTTCATGTTTCAAGATTGGCGGCATATTAAACATTTTGGTGGCTGTAGCCACTTCATAGATATAGTCTGTGGTCACAACTGTCAACTCGTTCAAAAAAAAAAACATTAAAAAGTTTCTATTGTACAATACAATTATTGAAACTTCGAACGTCTAACCTTCGAGCCAATACAAAAATAATAGTAAATGGTAGTGTTTGATTCATACGAAATATTATGGTACAATTATTATATAATCTACTTAATTACGTCTTCAAATCGCACCTTCGCGGTAGGCAGCGGCTTGGCTCTGCCCCTGACATTGCTGAAGTCTATGGGCGACGGTAACCACTCACCATCAGGTGGGCCGTATGCTCGTCTGCCTACAAGGGCAATAAAAAAAACCTCGGATGTCTATGGTACCTACTGAACATCAAATTATTTCTAATCATCATAAAATCTTTGAGAACTGGCAACAGAGTTAATAAAAAAACATAAGTATGTAACTTAATGACAACTATAAGTTTGTCATTACTGTTTAAACTCGTAGACTGACAATAAGAGACAAATTATGAAAATATAATCGTTGGCACTTTAACTAATGTATTTGGTTTTACGTTGCGTGACTATCAAACGAGTATTAAAGTTAATGTGATTGATGGAAGCATTTCTAAAATACTTTATAACCTAATTTTTTTTTGTAGAACATCTCAAATAATTAATCGACAAACTATTAATGCAGTTAATACCTAGGCAGTTGGACAAGGCCACTAATGTATACCACAGAGCTTGCCATCATGAGTCTGATTATTAGATTAGTTTTATTATACTATTAAGACATAAAAACAAATAAAAGTATATAATTAAGAATTTTCAATGTTTTATTTTTTATTATATACACAAAACATTTGGAATGTGGGAGCCCCATACATAACAAGAATAATATTTTATGTTAAGCATGCAATTCTTTTCGTTTTCACCTGCAAGACAGTGAATATATAAGGCACAGACTTTGTACCGACAATACAACCAATTATTTTTTTCGACAATAATACATTCCATTTTAGAATTTTAAACATTTGAATAAAAAAGCCAATACACTATTTCATCTTATATTACATTATAGTTGTAATATTAACAGCACACTTGTAATAATTACACAATAAAGCGATTTTTTAAAATTCTAAATGAACACATCGCANGAATATATAAGGCACAGACTTTGTACCGACAATACAACCAATTATTTTTTTCGACAATAATACATTCCATTTTAGAATTTTAAACATTTGAATAAAAAAGCCAATACACTATTTCATCTTATATTACATTATAGTTGTAATATTAACAGCACACTTGTAATAATTACACAATAAAGCGATTTTTTAAAATTCTAAATGAACACATCGAAGACTGTTCCCAAGTTAAACACGAAGATAGTGGCAGTGGATAGAGTCAGCTAACAACCATGGCAACACTCGCGACACTCAACTTATTTTAAGATGGTAACACTAAAGTTTTTTTACGCTGATAACTTCAAATGTATACTTTCGTATCTAAGCAATAATAATTACGTGCGATTTCGCTCGTGTTAACATTTCAATAGTAATATTATAGTTAATATAGTAGTAGCCTTTAAGCTCCTAAATTAAAAGATTGTATAAAAGTTCAATTTAAAAATACAAATACAAACTACATAAAGGTCAAATCGAAAAAAATCAACTTTCATACTATTTTATTGTTGTTGTATAAAAAAGAAAAATAATATATAACATGAAACAGCCACGTGTGTGTTAAGAACAATGACATTTCTACAAACTTAGTTCTCAACAATCTACATCTTTTAGAACTTTCTTTTCATTTAAAGCTCCCCTAAACAGAGGCCCAAAGTAAAAATAACCACATGTAACGATTAAAATTTGTATTTAACTACATATTTAATATATTTCAATCATATTCATTGTTGGGTACTGACCAAAAATGCTAACAAAATTTATGTCATAATATAATGTTTCAACAATGTAGAATATAATCGATTCAGCTAATCGTTTAGTAATTTACTGTTGCACGGAAATTATTCTTTCGACTTTACAAGCCTCGGGTGAATCCAAGTCCATCATGTGTGACGTCATTTGGGGCCAAAGTGTAAAAACCTAACCAAAGATATTATATATTTATAATTCATATTAATATGCGCATGCATAACACTGACATTTACATTAATAAAATTCGTTATAAAAAATACATCATCCATACTTTTTAAAGCGATAATAAACAGTAAGAAGTTATAGAATATTCTAGAACCGACCCTCACATCTCTAGATCGGAAGACCGCAGAATTTAAAGAACAGCTTCGGATCGGACACAATACACTATCGGTTGTTTTAACAACCAAATTTACAATGCAGACAGTACAACAAAATAAAAATTAGTCGAGAAAATTATTTTAACTAGCACATTTTAAACTTTATTTTATTGTAAAATCACTTTTGTTATCATCATGGGTGAATAAACTAACAGAGTTCCACATTAGTTCTCATTTATTTTAAGATTTGGAAAGATAATTTATCATTCTCTAACACAAGCATAAAAGACACTTGTCAGAACAATATATTGACAGCTCTATACACAAACTGTTTCAAAACCGCCATCAGTTGCTATGGCAACCACTCTCAACAACATTACATTGGAAGTACCGGTTGCCATGGCAACGCTGTCATTCCAATTTGAAACTTTTTTCGTGGTCCGTTATATTTAAGACAATTTATTATCTGTGTAATATCTGTATGCGCATACATATACTACATCGAGGTTTGAAAGACTATTTTTAATCGACACTTATCTTTGTAATTATAGGTACGTTTTATTTTGTATTAGCATCAACAGTTCGATGTTTTTAATTGAACTTCAATTGAGTTTACTCCATTCAAATAACCGAAGAAGTTTTATGACATCTTTTTCAAATTTTAAACTTTAAATGGCTCTCTTGTAAAGTTGTCAAAATGTCGCTTAAACCAAATAGCATTTCAACCGTCGATATGAACTTATGTGGAACCATATCGAACCTAAACGAATAATATTATTGGTCCACCGAAGATAAAGAGGTAGAAAAGACAGTACGAAGCCAGGATCCCGGCTATCTAAGAAAAATTTGGCCACAATAATTTTATATTTATACATATGGATATGAAACTCGATTCTATCGAACGATATCAGCGCAGATCCTCAACCTCACCGATGTCCCCAGTGACCGGTCGGAGGGGGTCTGCGGCCACATGCGCCTACGATCTTAGACCTTATCTCTAAATTCGTAACGTAACGGGATAGCAAGCTGAGCTTATTTAAGCTTAATGGAAGTTTTAAAGAACAAACCGAAACTATGAGTTTAAACTATATGAGTACACGGTGTAAAGAAATAGTTCATGAAATCGAAAATTGAATGAAATACAACTCTAATAGAATGAAAAAAGATATTAATTGCATAAGCTAAAAATTGTAATCTATAAGTTCATATTCGCTGAATCGCAACGCGTGCCTACCCGCGTTCCCGCGAGTTGATTGACCCCGAGCGAACAAAGTTAATTAATATATTTTCGAATGTGATTTTTTTTATCGTATTCGATATCATTCGCTGTTCTATCTCCTTCCATTTTCGGAATTCTTTCTGCACACTCTATACGCTGGGCGTTAGGAATTTTTTCCTCTTTTTTAGGTTCCATCATACACGTAATATGATCCTGTTTAATTATATTATTATTTCCAGGTTAAAAACGCATTACGTATTTATATTACTTAAAGCAATTCAATTTAAATGTATAAAATGAAACTTTCATAGCATTGAACATATTAGATCTACAATTTAATTAAAGAATTATAATAGTTTTATCGTTCGTTCTTCAACCACAATCAATTTTCAATCATCAAATACACGAACATTTTCATCTTCAGATTATACGTAATTATAATTTGAAGACTGTTTATATATAATAGAAATGCAATACAGAACTATTCTGAAATGAACTCGCATTACGACAAGGTCGATAAATGATTTATACGTTCCAAATTTATCGATAAGCCACCGCTTTTAAACTTCAATCGACAATCCATTACCAGTGTCGAATATTATATAACTACAGCGTATTCCAAGGAAATTGGCGTTAGATAATTTCTTACTACTTTTTCGTACCAAATTTCATATTGTTTGATGATATGAATTTAATAAATTCTGGCCCATGTTGGGTTGTAAGCCTACTCACATACGGGTTGGTTAATACGCATTGAATTAATTTTACGCTTATATTTGAAACCTCTGAAACCTCTTTCCGTCTCTGGCCGCTACCCGCTGCGGTTGAACACTTTTCCTTTTCCCGCCACCGTTTTTAGTAACGTGATGTACCGGATTTCTTTCGTGAACTTTTTTATTTATTCCTTTTATAGGCAGACGAGAAGACGTAGCGTGAGTAGACCTCCCACAAAATGGATCGACGAGCTATTGAGGTTCGCGGAGATCCGCAAGCAGAGCAAGACCTATCTTTGTGGCGAGGCTTGGGGAATCCTATATCCAGCTATGGACGTCTGTAGGCAGACGGGCATACAGCCTACCTGACGGTAATTGGTTACCGTCGCTCATGGACGTCAGCAATGCCAGGGGCACAACCCAGTCGCTGCCTATCAATTGTATAAATGTGTTCTCAACGTCAGCCGGTGAGCACGGAGCGTTCCGTTTCTATCGATGATCGAATTGAAACACGCGATCGATACGATTTCGAGTGCTCCGCACGTCGAGCACCACTAGATCATAAAAACATTTAATTCGGCCGCGTCAAGGCAACACAGGCGCGCACCGCCGACGCTCTGGCAACACCAGATTTATTTACAGCTTTATGGTTGGAACGTTTCGTGCTTACGTAATCGAAAAGTTTTTAATTGCAGTATCTAGGTTCATGGATGACGTTACGTCAAAACTATCGTTCATTATTACATATAGCAATTTCGATACGACCTTAACGCGGTCTTTTTTAATAATTAACTATAATAAAAAAAAAAAAACAGCTTATATAAAAACATCTGCGGTACACAGAGAAGGCAACGATTTTTACAAACATATTTATATTTTAACGAAGCCGCCAGGCGACTTCCTTTACTTAATGTCTTCAATAAAGATTTCACAGATATTTTGGATATTCGAGTAAAAAATAACAGAATACTTTTTTATGTGCGTTATTCGCGGGAGATGGGCGTGCTGCACGCGGCGGATGGGGCGCGGCGTTCTAGAGGCGAGCGCGGAGTGGAATCCGCTTCCGTGTTTGAGTCCGCTTCGCCTTCCGCCGTCGCTTCTGCGTCCGCGCCGGCTTCGCTGTCCGCACCGCACAACGAAGTGAACACACTGCTCGACGACACTTCGCGTACATACCGCCGCTGTTCAGCTGTAATAGGCATGATGACTAATTTTCAAAATCTTTTCTATGATATTCAGAAGTATCTATTAAATAAAAAATACATCATATTTCTGTAGAAAATAAAGGTTTTCATGCAATAAAATGAATTTTAAATTTAAAGTTTCTATTTCGCGCTAAAACGCTGTTCAGTGTCATGGCGTTTGTCATTACGTCACGGCTCAGTAAGCTTCAGTATGTCAACAGTAAACATTAGATGCTTGTATAATAAATAAAGTTATTTTGCATAATAAATATGAATTCATGAATAAATTTATGCGTCGAAATCATTATGAAACCGCTCAAATTTTTTGAAAGCAGAAATTAAGGAAAGACTACTCTGAGAAGTGACGGAATGATTTTCGGTTTCCGTGTAATAAAAAAAATCTAGATTCGGATTATATTTCATGCACTGTTACTAACACCTTCCACATGTAATATACGTAATTAGAGGTGGCTCCTTTCTAAAACCACACATGAGGAAAGACAAACAGTTCGTTTTTTTTCTTTTTTATTTATTTACTAGCTGCCCCGGCAGACTTCGTAGTGCCTCAATCGATAAATAAAATACCTAAACTTTTGTATAAAATAAACTTAAAACAAACAAAAGGGATCCGTCCGACGGGGGACACATCAAAGGGAAAACAACATTGTTATTTTTATTTAATTCCGAGCATTTTCATATTTATCTACCTTTTAAACCTTCTCTGGACTTCCACAAATAATTCAAGACCAAAATTAGCGAAATCGGTCTAGCCGTTCTCGAGTTTTAGCGAGACTGACGAACAGCAATTCATTTTTATATGAATTCATTTTTTCATATTTAAATCATGGCCTGCATGCAGTATATGATGCTCCGTGTGCTTGTAACAAACGATGCCACGACGCTATGTTCAATTCACGAAGGCTTTTTTTTTCTTTGTCAGGGTGGATTCCCGAAGGCTACCAATTTTAATAAAGACTTCACGAAGATGTTCACGAATGACTTCCACGATGAAGGGATAGGTAGGCATCGTATTGCAAAAATCAAACCGGTAAAATTGCGTACCTAACAAGTGACGGACATGTTGTGAGCACGCTTGGATAGGTACTACCATCCTGCCTAATTTTGCAGCGAAACCTATGCGTTCCGGATTGATCGGTAGTTCAGTCATTATACAGTATAATTGAACTTCGACGTCGTGTTTCAAGGTGGGTAAGAGAAGATGAGAGAGATGACGTCCATAGGTTCGGATAACCACTTAATACTGGGTAAACCCTGAGTTTGTTTACCAAGATAAGTATTAAAAAGATACCTTTCGATTTTCATTCAACAATGTCAACTTAATTAAACAGAAAGAAGGAGAATCCACTTATTTATTACAATGATATTTTTTTGTATTCATTGGTCAAAAAGTCTGGTATTAACTAGTTACCGGAATCTACAGAAGGAAGAGAGAGAGAGATTGAGAATGAGAGATAAGGTTGTTAAGATAGTTTTAACTATGAATGTGGAAGACTTTAGAGGAAGCGGTAGAGGTCCTAAGAACAAATTGACGGATTGCGTGAAAGACGATATGTGTAAGAGGGGAGTGAGCGGTGAGTTGGTATATGAATGAGGAGTATGGAAAGAGAAAACATGTTGCGCCGACCCCAGGTAACTGGGAGAAGGGTAGGAGATGATGATGAAGAAAGAGAAAGACAGAGAAAGAACTCACGAGGCTTAAGACAGAATTGCATTTTATACCATGCATTTTACTACAGCGGCAAAATGATAATGTGTCCACGATGTGTCGCATATAAATTTAGTTTTTTTTTTCACAGAACGACAAAGAAATCTTTTAAATCTGCCCAATAAGCGCCTAATTCCAGATAACAATCAAACATTATTCGATCGAAAATAAAATCAGTGACGTTCTAATCGATTCACTTGCACTAAACGCTGAGTTGACGGCTCGTTACCGCCTACACGAGACCAAGCAGACCGTGAAAATTATTATAATGATCGGTGGTTATAACGTTTCGAGCTCGGTAATATGTAAATAATATGCTCCGGTGATACTTTCCATTTTGAAAGTAACAAGAGATCATGTCTCGAAGTTAAAATACGATTGTTTTACTTTGAGATTTGAAAAGGCCGTTGCGATTTTCTTATTAGCATGTCAAACGATTCTTTGTTATAAATTTGGAGCAAATACAAGCAACACCTCTGCTTTGTTTTGCTTGTTACTTGAGGTTAGAGTCTCAGTTTAATTGTATGCTATCCCACCCTTCAAACTAGAACGATTTCTTCCAAATAGCAATTAGGATACTTATGCTGAGTTAATATAACGCAAATTTATAATTTTTGACGGGTTTTTATTTCTATTATACGATGCTATTCTTTCATAATGAACTTCGGTCCGGACCACGTGTTAGGTAGGTAATGGTTAGGTCCGTATTTACGAAATAACAAATCAATGGTACACTCTTTCAGGATTTTGATCCAAGTATGGTCGCATGACACGACTAATACCCCGGGCAAACATTAACAACCTTTAATTTCTTCCATCTAATCATTTATGCACTCTGTCGTGTCCACCATTAGAGACATGACATTTCGGTTTTCGCTTTTGTAATGAGTAATAACACAAATCTAAATTTGCTAACAAGAAACATCTTTGTGTGCAACATCAAAAGCGACGAACAGGACTTGAGGTCACCCGATATGACGTAAAGATATTAAACAAACACATCGTCCGTTATAAAAATAAATCGTGGTGTGAGCGGCGGTTCCTTAATTCGGTGATAAATGCCCACACGCTCGTATCGATAGTCGGCAGACGTGCGTACGTACCTAACCACGGAAATATTCTGCTGTCAAACTTTATCGACGTCGTTAATACTGGCAACCGTATTGACAGATTCTAGAATTTACTGTCGAAACAGTTTTGCTCTACTTAATGGCCGGTAGCCTCCAGCTTCTCCGTCGTGATGGGCGAGCTCCCGGGTTCAGTCTGAGAGTGTTTGCTAACACTTGCCCCAGCAAGAGTAGTGCTTCGTTGAATCTACCACTGGCTCGGAATCGCGATCCACTGAGCAAAGCCGACGAAAAATTCCGTGGGTTAATAACAGTAGGAGTTCACATATAGTGAGCTAGCACGGTTCGAATCTGTCACCCAGACTATGCCCGTCGCGCGACATGATGCTTTTTGATTTGAAGGATAGAACAGCAGGAAGTTAATTTAATGCAATATCTCAAGATGGACGACGACATTTGCGTTTGTCTCTGAAGTTTGCCAACTGTATTAAAATTATTAGGAAAGCGTACTTGTTTGTTTATTAACGGTCGAAGAATCAGATTTTAATACGCTGAAGCATAAACGTACCAAAAAATAATTATTATACATAAATACAATGGTTTCTCTGAGCTTTGCTCTTTGAACTGGTTTGGTTTATTGCTAAAGATACCTATCACCCCAAAATGTGTTCCGCTCTACAAGGCCAGCTCTACAGACAGAAATTAAGTGTCCACAATGAAACAATCAAGACGACGATACCACTATTCAATTGAGCTCGTTTCAAATGATCTATAAATGTGACTTACCAATCATATTGTGTAAGTTATCGATGACAATTTCAGTGTTGTATGTCGCGTCGACTGCTCGGTGCAAAAAGGCTGTCCACGTACTCAGCTCGGCTTCCTGTGGACAATATAGGAGATCAATGACTACATGCTCAATCACGGCACCCTTGGTCTAATCTACATTTCGACTATAGGCTATAGCCATCGCTGTGCTAAAGGGTTTATACTTCTTGTTTTCCCTACCTAATCTTTGGTAGTCTAAGGGGCTATTCCAACTTTACGCGGACCGGTAGGTGAGCTCACGGGCTCAACCTGAGAGAATGAACACTAGCCCTAGCAAAAGCAGTGCTTCACTGAATCTAAACCCGAATCGGAATCGCAACCTACCGAGAAGATCCGGCGAGAAACTCAGTGGGTTAGTTTATACCTTTTAAAGACTCCTTTATACCTTTTATACCTTTTACCCTTTACACCCATGGCTTCTAAAATAATTGCTCAGACTAGAAGAGTTACGTCAAGGTTCATGAAATAATTCAATGAGCGTAATTTATATGGTAATTTATTGCCACGCGAGGATGAGTCTGAGGCTCCAGATTGTTATATTACATCACTATGTTAATTCACCTACTAAAAGGTGTGTAAATGCTGGAGTATAAGAGACAATAAGAAAAACGTTTTAACATAATAAAGACCATGTTTATTAGCTTTTTTTTACTAGTTCCCCTTAAGACCTATTGCTAAAGTAAACAAAGTTCCTATTCATATAACAAAATGAGCTATTATTTGATACAGCAGCGTATTTTTAACTGTAAATTTAAATACACGTAATGTAGTGTAAATCATAGGGTCGCTGGTGAGATTAGATTTATCAGTTTTTTTTCTTCTAATACAACAAAGTCTGTTCTCTTATTGGGCGGATGTAATAATTTACCAACAATCTGACTCCGATTCTAAAGCACAACATTTCATAACACAATCAAATAACACAAAGCACTTTCAAGCACAACATTGACACAGCCCTGACGCATTCATGTTATTAGTTCCAACATAGATATCTGACACCGCGGCTGATGCTAAGCCCTTGTCATACTCATATCCAGGATAACCTACAAAGCAAAATGAAGCCGTATAGTTGCATTCCCTGATTCACGCCTCGATGGGATTGTCGACGATCGGGTTACAAATTACTGCATATCGTGTTCACTGCTTCCTTTTACGTAAAATTTACTGTACGGATCTTAAATTCGTAGTACGCTAGCTAGTTGCTCATCTCGCTGTATTGGGTAATTAACTGGTGTTACCCGGATTTTACTAGAAGAGTATATAGGTAGTTTTAAATGCGTTCCATTTCGTCTGTACTGTATACATCGTTGGATCCAGAAGGTAGAGGAAGGCGTTCTGTGGAAGCCATTGGGGAAGGCCTATGTCCAGCAGTGGGCAGATAAAGGCTGATGATGATGATGATGATGTATACGTCGTAGCGACAATTACTCTAGTTTGCTATTTTTAGTGTTCTAAAACAATTTGATTGAACTAGTGTCTATACACAAATATAACTTTTGTTGTTTTGCACACAATGTATTCTTCTTCTCAGTCGTACACTCCTGGCGGAGTGGTCGTGGTTACGTATGTCTTAATGTTTGGTTGCGGCTTTTGAGAGACTTCTCCATCTCTCTCTATTTGTGGCGGTACGTGTACACTCAGTAAGGGAACACTTCGTAGATCTTTTTTCTTTTTTTATTGCTTAGATGGTTGGACGAGCTCACAGCCCACCTGGTTTTAAGTGGTTACTGGAGCCCATGGACATCTACAACGTAATTACGCCACCCACCTTGAGATATAAGTTCTAAGATCTCGGTATAGTTACAACGGCTGCCCTACCCTTCAAACCGAAACGCATAACTGCTTCACGGCAGAAATAGGCAAGACGGTGGTAACTACCCGCGCGGACTCACATGAGGTCCTACCACCAGTAGATAACTTAACCAAGTCTGTCCACCTAGTGGATGACCGGCCGCGAGAGCGTTGACCGTCTACTCTTCCTTGAACCACTAAACGTTCCAATGAGCTTTCATTACGAATGATATATACACAATGTGTAGCACAGCTGAAATTCAGTTCGGTCAGCTTCGGTGATGGTTTCCTATAGGCATTACATTAAGCTGTTGCGTCCACAATCAAAAAAAAATTCATAAAAATGAATACCGTATTATCTATCAGTCCATCAGTGTTAAAAAAATAATCTCAGACTACTAATAATTAATACCAACACTCTGCATTAAACTTGTGCAACTCACGACGAGCCCCTCTAAGATAGCTCATGAATAAATGGCTTATCTCTTTCCTTGCAATATAACTCGACCTTATTTAAACAGTAATAGGATTTCCCCGCACAAACTATAACCATTTACCCTCGTCTCATTTCCTCTGTGACGGCGAATGTAACTTTTCCTGACCCTGTTTTATCCCGAACGAAGTAGGTCAAGGCGAGTCATGAATATTCGAGGTTATGCTCCTCGGGATTCGCGTGGAAACAGTGAATTTTCTTTTTGGCTAACGAAAATACAGGAGGGCATTTTGCAAATGACGCTCTGGAGACTTCTGAATTGATATCTAATATTATTTCTGATACCAATTTATTTTATAATAGGTTGAAAAAGTTTCTTCGCATTTTTTAAGAAAATTTACAACACTTTTTTATATATTTTATTTACATTTAACTAAAGTATGTACCATTTTGTTCGATAACTTTTTGCCATCTTGTAGGTAGGGACATGATCCCATTGCTATAGAAATTTTGGGGCTTCTGATCAAAATACCGCGACAATTGGTTTTGGCAGTCCTCTCGTGATGTTAACCTGACACTGCCTAAAGAGTTCTGAAGAGACCGAAACAGGTGGAAATCTGAAGGTGCAAGGTCAGTACTATACGGCGGTATTATATTTATAGTTGTTTGAAGCGTCCGTAACTCAACGAAAGTTGAGAATATATTGTGCGCAATCGATCGAACTGTTGATTAAATGACATCAGGTTTTTTATTTTTTATTTTATTAATTAAAATAAATTTGCGTTTAATTAATTAGACGTACAATTAATTTGACGTAGTGGTAGTGCCTAATAACTTGGTGGTAGGGCGTTTTGAGACGTACCACCATCCCCATGACTTTCAGTTTGAAGGATGGGACCGCCTTTAAATGCTTGAGGCGTGGATGGCATCATTCACGATGTGATGCGTGGGCAGTTTCGACAAAAACCGAACACTAATCAGGCGGTAAGCAATTAGCGTAATCAAATATACCTAATACCTTAAGACACGACTTCGTAACACCCTACACCCAAAACGACTTCCTGGTGTTACCTACTATCGTAACTGCTCGGTTACAGAGCACGTGTATAAATAGAGGTGACGCCGACGGTCAGGGTCGCGGTCGGTCGCTGCACTGTTACAGATGGCCGCGCGATGTTGCCTGGTCAATAATAAACTTTGCTGCCTCCTTTACTAGGTTTAAAATTGGGTAAAGGTTTATATCAGTTTGCTGCCCCATCCTTTGAAGTCCATACGCCTTTATTTAAAATTGGAGTGTTATGGTTATGGTATATGTTATTGGAATCAAAAGCCAAAAGAAGAAATGAGCGCTATCTTTTTCGTACAAGTTATACATATTAAGATATAAATTAGCAAATAATGTGGTCATCAAATGAAGTAGCCTTAAGAAGTAATTTGCCTTCAATTTATTGAAATTACAAACAGACATTATTTTTTTTTGGTCAGGAGCAAATCGTCGGACTCCCACCCTTCATTGGGAATGGCGGGCGGGGCATATCGGAGTCGAACCGACTAAAACCTCCTGTCGCTCAACGTTCGAACCCACGTTCGAGCCTGGCATGAGACAGAACTCATGAAAAGGCAAAGGGGGGAGAGTGAAGCGTTTATTGCTACAAACAGATATTTAGCGACATATAATTACTGGAAACCAGACACTAAGACGTGAATTCCGTTTGCCATGCACCGAAAAGGTTAACCCATGAATCTTACTAAATAGGTAGGACCCTTCAGACTGAACTGCATGTCCATACTTCGATTTTATAATAGAGAAATAAAAACAAAACTTCATTTAACTTTGTTCCAAAAATCTGGCCTCAATATTTTAAGATTTTCGTATTTTCTATTTGTTACCTGGCAACAATGAGAAGACGCATCACCGCCTACACGCAAGCTGGAGCGTGGATATGTGACGCGGTGTGCCCGTGACGACGGCTTTAGGGCAGAGGTAAACGAAATCAAATGAATTAGGTCATTATTATAAAATTCAGCCTTGCCAACATTTTTCGTGGATTTTTTTAAATATATAAAGCCTTCTTTTTAATGATTTAATTTACAGTGTAAGTAGATTCTTTTGAAGATTTTCTTAAAATTATATTCATGGGTAAGTATCATAAAATAATGAAAATGAAACATAAAAAAATACTGTCTACAAAATAATATTGAATCAAACAATGACTTACTGACAGTCTATAAAGTTTCCAAAGCAATGTCTACTTTTCCATCTAGCACAAGATCCCAGGAGTATGTAGGGAACGAAGCAATCGTAGTCAAAACGACCTCTCACTCAAAGGGGTCACAAGTTTGATATTAGATATTACCGCAACGATTTTAGTTTTTTACAGTACAGAAAGAAATTAGCTCAAGGTCTCAAAGAGCTTATATTTAATAAAACTTTTCAGTGTTAAGGTTGGATAAGCCCCTAAGTTACAATTCACCTCATATTACCAAAGTCACCACCTAACTCTAGAGGGGCTGGTCTGTCCATTTACAACATCAAATCAAGAAAAGAAACGTGCCAAATTACATGTAGATCGCCGGGAAAAAAGCGCAATTGTCGTAACTTAAAAAACCCAACTTTACTGGTGGTAGGACCTCTTGTGAGTCCGCACGGGTAGGTATCACTACTCCGCCTCTTTCTGCCGTGAAGCAGTAATGCGTTTCGGTTTGAAGGGTGGGGCAGCTGTTGTAAATATACGGAGACCTTAGAACTTATATCTCAAGGTGGGTGGCGCATTTACGTTGTAGATGTCTATGGGCTCCAGTAACCACTGAACACCAGGTGGGCGGTGAAT